ACGGCAGGGGGATCCTCTCTTCCCGTACTATTTATCATGCAATGGAGGCTTTAAATAGTTACTGTGCAGGGCTAAAGGCTGACTTATGAATGAGTAAGGTTGGGAAAAGACTGAATGTTCTTGATGTTATACACATGTTTCTTGCCGATGACACCCTCATATTTTGCCATATGAATATCAGAAATCTCTTACATCTGCTATGCATTCTCCATTGTTTTCAGGCTGTTTCTGGATTAAAAATTAATATGCTAAAATCTGAATTGGCCAGGACAGGTGGTGATGGTGATGGCAGCAACTTTGCTAAAGTCCTGGGGTTCAAATCGGTGAGGTTCCCTTTGAAATACCTAGGGGTTCCATTGGGTGCAAAATTTAAAGACAAATGCACATGGAATCTGGTTATTGAATTATTTGAAAATAGGCTTGCTGGGTGGAAGAAAAACTTTCTTTCCAAAGGTGGGGGTCTCACTTTAATAAAAAGCACGTTGGCCAACCTCCCCATCTACTACTTCTCGACTCTTACAATCCCTAAAGAAATTGCGAAGAAACTAGAAACAATTCAACATAATTTTCTTTGGGGAGATAATGAGGGGCATAGGAAGTATCACTTGGCTAGTTGGGAGGACATAAAAAAACTGGTTCTTAGGGGTGGTTTGGGATTAAGATCTATTGTCTACATGAACAAGGCTCTTCAAGGAAAATGGCTTTGGAAGTTTTTGATGGAGGAGGACAAAATTTGGAGGAAAATTGTGTTTCTTCAGTGGGGTGGGCCAGATTCGGGTGGGGCCGGGGCTGGCTACAGGCCCCATGGGTGTGAGTTGTGGAAGAATATTTTGAAACAGTGGCCAAGTTTCCTTTCCTGCACCAAATGGCAATTGGGTAAAGGGGACAAAATCAGATTTTGGCAAGATAGGTGGGCTGTTGAGGATAGATTACAGAATTTGTTTCCCAGAATTTTTGAAATTGCATATTCGAAAAGGTTGGCGGTGGCTGATTCATATAGGCTTTGTAATGGCTGTGTTGATTGGTCCATTAGAGTCAATAGACATTTAAATGACTGGGAAATCAAGGAGTATGAAGAACTTTTGATAACATTGGAGAAGCAACGTATACAAGAGGAACCAGATGAGATTCTGTGAAGTCTTGAGAAAAGGGGTAATTTTTCTGTTCAATCATATTATAGCTTTCTGGTTGGGGGGGAGGAGGAAGAAAGTCTGGAACCCCCTATTAAGCAAATATGGAAAACTAAAGTGCTCCCTAGGATGGCTTTCTTTGCATGGGAAGCGTGTAGGAAAAAAATACTCACTTTCGACAACTTAAGGGCAAGGAGACAGGTTATTATTGATAGATGCTCTCTTTGCATGTGTGATGAGGAATCTTGTGATAACCTGCTGCTATGGTGTCCTGTTGCTCAGAGCTTATGGAGCATTATTTATCAGCTTTTGGGGATTAGTTGGGTGATTTCTGGGAAAGTGAGAGGGGAAATCTGGGCTTGAAATGGGCTGATCAACAAATGTAATGTTGCCAATTTGATTCCTTTGTCTGTTTTTTGGGTTATTTGGAAAGAAAAAAATGGTAGGGTCTTTGATGGGAAAGAGTTAAGGTTGTATAAATTAAGAAATAGGTGGATTAATTATTTTGGGTCTAGTTTGCTTGGTCATGATATTGTAAAGGATGAAGATTTTGGGGATATCATTGACATACTAACTACTTTGTAAATTATTTACGGGGCGATACCCCCTCTTTTTGGTACCTTTTTAATATACATGTTATTTTTTATTTAAAAACAATATATCATGATGTTTAGTTGCTTAGCTGAAGGATATAAACAAAAGGAATTGAAGTTGTGGCCTGAAATTTCCCTCCCCGTGCATCTTTATTCTTCCTCTCAAATGTTCCTGAGATTTTATACTGCTTTTTTACAGTTAACGGGTGACATACATGAGGAGGTTGAGAGTCATAATCGAATGCTTGACAGAATGGTGCGTACTCTGCAACTAACTTGATACCTTCAGTTGAAAGAGAGCTATTTAGTGACAAAATGAAACAGAAGAATCTTTGTTTTAAGTGGATTCCATTGTAAAACCAGGGAAACAACATGGATGCATCAAGAGGAGTAATGTCAGTAACCATGGACCGATTCAAGATGGTACCTAAGTCAGATTCATTCTCGTCTGTCTTTATCTTTGTTTGTTTACTTGTTTATTCATTTGTGTTATTCACATTGCTGGTGGAAAAATTACCAAATATAATGAAGCTGTTGTTTTGTAGGTGTTCGAGAAGAAATCAAATAGTAGAATGTGCAAACTCGTGGGTTTTTTTGTGGTTTTGTTCTTGACTATATATTTTCTTATTAGGTAATGCTCTAATTACCACAGGATGCCACAGGATGCTAGCGTTCCCAGCCCCTAGTTCCTAATTTTATTTTATCTGTAAATATTATGTTTCGGGGGATACAGAAGCATTTTAATGTGTGGGATTAGTTGAATTTATTTATCTCCAGATGTTGATACTGATATGTGCAAATAGACTTTGAACAATTTGATGCAAACCAGTGCAATTATAATTATGCTTCACAGCTGGAAATTAATGCCCAGACTGCAGTGTATAATTATCGCACTGTCGTAAAGAAAATAATGTGCCCTCATGGTTGGATTTTCAACCTGTATATAATCCCATTTAGACATAATGGATGTTCAGTTGAGTGGATGGATGTTCACCTCCAGTTTAGGGCTTCATTTGTACAAACTCTTGTGTTTTTCACGAGTCTTATATCTTTCATACTACATATCGAGAGGACTCTTAAAGATAATAGCATGTTTTTTTTTTTTTTCATTTTCCAAGTAACAGAGATATGGATATGTTGAGTGTCTTGTAGTCCAGTTTAATTTGGTTTAGTTGTACAAGAAATATTAGAATGAAGGATATGGGCTGTCCTTCACATCCTGAAGTCTCTGTTGTTGATACCAGCAAGTGTGTATTCTGCAGGGTGTTTCGGTAGATTTATTGTTGAAACAATTAAAGATCCTGTCTGCCTGTCTGGTGTTGGAAATGGAGGTCACATACATAGAAGCACAAAGATGGTTTCCAGGTATCCTACTATTACTCTATTGAGTCTGGTATGATGCAGAATTAATTTTCTCAAGGCATGTTTCTATAAGATGAAATAGAAAGCCAAATGACGGGCTATGACTAGGGATGTTAACATGTTACTGCAGGTGTATAATGCGAGTTCTTACCCCAGAAAGAGATGGTAAAAAAGCCTAACTCTTTGTTGTACTGCAATATAAGAACACGTGGACTGGCTTGTTTGCCTATATTGGTGACTTCAACTGTTATGAAAACGTTCTTTTGTAGCATTAATTTAATTGGGGGAGGGAGAATGGCTTGCGCCTTACCACCAAACCCCAAGCAGAAGCAATCAGTTTGTGTCCTGAGTTTGATTAGAGTTTTTAAAATTGAAAGGTTGGCGGTACGTCTCCCTTTGGAGGGTTTTGGTTTGTCCCTTACAAAAACTCAACAGGAAATGCAGCTGACTCAGATCTAAAACGTTTGTGAATATCATATTTATTACATCTCAATGGTTTATACATCATATAATACTAGAATAGTAAAAAGAACACTGAACAGTTAAACACGCGTTAGAAAAGAAAAATAAGGTTTCCCTCCCCAAAAGTCAGAGAATCAGACATTAGGTTTGCATTTTTGTGTCTTGCATGATGAGAAGTAGAGAAGATCCGGTAGAAGATACGAGGAATGTAGCTAGGTTTTTTATCGTTGGAAACTAACAGCTTTCACATCCGCAAAATAAGCCACTAATATGGTTGGTACCATCAGTCTTATTTCAAAGCAGTGTGATTTGGAGTGCGGAGGGAGTGAAGTAGTTGTTTTTTGTGATGAAAAAAAAGATGGAGGGTGATTTCGATACCAAATTAGGAAAATAATGAAAAAGGAAGTTTTGGAGCAAAAACGTTTGTGGGCTGAAAGGGTAAGAGCATCAATTGGGGCAGGTCCAATCAAAATTGACTCCATTAGCAATGTTTCCACCTTGGATGCTCCATCGAGTTGATGTTGACTCCCTCATTATTTCCCACTTCATTGCATTTTACTTGCAATCACTGAAGCCAATCACATCCCAACATTTTGATTTTGACTTTTACCACCCTCTAAAATAAACACCATGTCTCTGACAATATTAAGTTTTTATATTTAAAAAATATACAAAAACAGTCAAGAGGTATTGCACGAGGGTGTTGATTTTATCTATGAATAATATTAATCGTGAGTAAACCAAGAAAGGCAATGCGAAAAGATTTTGATTAGCTTAATGGCAGAAGCAATTGGATTTTGGTGGGTGAAATAGAATGAAACGACAAAAATTGGCAAGATGCTCATTAATTGAAAACATAGATTAGACTCCCTTAATACTTACAACCCCATTAAATCAATAAATCAAAGATGGTGCAAAACGACAATCATTTGAGATAAAATAAGTACCATGTAAATCAGCATTTGAAACAATTGTATTTGACCTGGCTTTTTTTTTTTAAAATATATATATATATATACATGTTGAATCAAATGTAATATTCAATTCTAAACTTTTTTAATTAAATAATTTTATTTTAGTTTGACAATAAATATGTATTATCCGCCTAAGAAAAAATAATAAAATTTGGAGTTCAGATGTAAATAAAAAGAATTTTTATTTTTGAGAGTTTTAATTAATTTTAAGAACATAAATAAAAGTATGTAAGAAAAATGGAGGCAAAAATATAAATAAGGAGAAGTGGAAGGCGGCAAATGAAATCATTAGAATGGACGGCCCAGATCGGATTACTTGAGGAGATCAGATGGAGAAGATTTTAAAAGAGAATGGATGGCCAAAATCAAGCTTGTGAGATCCAATGGCTAAGGATATAGGTATATAAGGAAAGAGATTAGGGTTTTTCTTCATTTCGAGAGGAGAAGCCGAAAATGAGAGGGAAAATGAGAGAGTGGATCGGATGAGAGGGAAGAGAGGAGATCTATCGAGCAGGGGGGAGCTGAGAGGAAGAAAGAAGGAGAGGAAAGAAAGAAAGAAGCCGAAAAGAGGAAGAGAAAGGACAGAAAAAGGAAGAAGGAGAAGAAAAGAGAGGAGTGGCTGAACGGGACAAAGAAAGAGAGCTAAAGAGCGGTCGCCGCGAGGGAAGAAGAAAAGAAGAGAGGGTCGGGGGCAGGAGAGTGTGGAAGCTGAATCGAAAGGAAGAATAAGGAAGAAGGAATGGCCCGAGATGCCGTGTGACAGCAGAGACCGAGGCAAGCAAGGTAAAGGTTCGTCTTTTTCGTCTTTTCTTTCCCTATTTTCTTTTCAATATATTTTTATTTTGCACTAACTAATTTTTTAGGCATAAAAATCTTCATTCCAATCACAAGCATGCAAGGGAGCTGCGAGGTGACTGAGAGGAGGCAACGGGGAGTCAAGCCGAGGCTAAATCGCCCACGTTGAAAGGTAAATCGATTTTTTCCATGTTTTGGTGGTGGTTGAGCGGCAGTGGGGAGGGGGGCTGGTATTGGACTGGCTGCATAGGCTCGGCTGAGCCACCCACCTACGCGGGAACCGAGGAGGTTTCCTCGGGAATAGGAAAAGATGAGTCATTCGGGAAGCCGAAGGGTCTTCCCCGAGCACAGGAACCTGATCCACCATTTTGGGGTTTCGATTCGCCGTTTGGAAAGTTGAAAAGTTTTCCTCGAAAAACAGAAATCCGATTTGTTATCTGAGAAGCTGAAAAGTCTTTATCAGAAAATGGAAATCTGATTCGTCAAACGCAGAGTCGAAAAATTTTTCGGATACAGATCTTGATAATTTCGGGTATTACGTTATATGGTGGTTAGAACCCGTAATTTGATTAAATCAATTTTTAGTATTTCAAAGTATTTTAATTAAATTATGTCGTGTGTACGAAAAAATTTGGACATTCAGACGAATCCGAAAAGACGTGTAGAAGTGTAAGTATTTCTAAATCTCAACCGGGTTTGAATTTCAAAAAGTACATTTATTTTATAAAAATTATGAATTTTGAAATTTGAACGGACATTAACCCAATTTTTGATAGAAAAACAGAACTCAAATTATGATCAGTAAACTTAAACAATTGGAACCCTATAGGAAGACAAAACCAGAAAACAATTTCAATGTACTGAGAATTATTTGAACTGAGTTATTTGGACTGATAAAATATGAAATTAAAAAAGAAAATTCCCAATTAAGGAAAAATTAAAAAAAAGAAATAAAATAAAAATGTAAAAATATAAAGAAAAAAACAATTGAGGTTATGAAATGATCATTTAACCAAATTAAAAATTTTAGAATGAAAGAGTAGGAGTGAATAAGATAAGAACCCTGAATTCCTTCTCGTTTAATCTGAATTGAGGAGGGGAGTGTGTGTGTGTGTGTGGTTGAAGTTTAGCAGGCATGGTGAACCTGCACATGGATAGAGTCTGAAATCTAATCCAGACGTAGATAGGCATTTGTGTGAGTGTGGGTTACTTAACAAACGTACCTGTTATGACCATTGTGTGATTTGTGTGTGTGTACTATCCATGCGATCTGTAACGACCCCAGAAATTCAAAAGGAAATATATAATAATTTAAGTGCGGAAGCGACATAAAAGTTTAAGATTTACATCCCTTACACAAATAACTTAAAAGTCCTAAACAAATATTTCGGAATGAATTCTCTGAAAGAAACACGAGAAATAAGAAAAGTAATGAAAAATATAAAGTATCTAGTATCTACTCGCAATCTTCCTATGGATCGGGCTCTGGAACTAGGTCTTCTTGATATGAAATGGTTAAATAAAAGATGAGCTACACTAACCCAGTAAGGATATCACACTATATCACCCGCACAGAAGTAAAAGTTGGTATAAAATTAAAACAACTAATGGAGCACTAAATTTAGCAAATTCATTTATCAATCATAAAATTATTTACTGTTCACTTACCATAATGAAATTTATGAAAACAACCTATAAAGACAATAATATCATACAGATCATAACTTTATAAACAATCATTAACATAGAACATATCATAGATTCATATCTATTAACAATAAACCAAATCATAACCGTTTCTCATTTCACCAGCCTACTAGTATCCATAGGGGTTCATAGGGATGTTCCTGCTACACGTGAACCATTTTCTTTAACAATCTCAATTACAGGGCCATCCCATACCCTGTCCGGTATGGCAAAGACATTAAACCTCAATACCCCGTCCGGTATAGCGGGTCATCCCTATACCCCGTCCGATTTGAGGGTGAAGCGAGTCGTCCCCATACCCCATTCGGTATGAACGCCAAATTACCAAGTCTCCATACCCCGTCCAATATGAGACAACGTTCACAGTAGGGTTCTCCATGTACCCGGTCCGTCTACCATCTCCTAGGGTATCTAGTAAGGTTGTCATTCCATCTGTTTATTGATCACACCTCTTTCCTGTTTTCCTTTAGTCTCCATTACCAAATCAAACATAATCACATAAATAAATAAACATGCATCCGGTAATGTAATCATGTCTCAAACCTTAAATTAAACAATGGTCAGGTAACGCAATAATACATGCATTTAAACCATAAAATAGGTAAATCAGATACTATCATGTTTTTAAATGGTAAAATAAATTAACAGAGAACAATGTCCGATTCAGGCTCCATTAGCAATCTATAATTAGTTATGCACGTCTATTTAATTTGTACAAAATACCGTATTATTATTTATTTAAATTTCAATTCTATGATAGAGAATAGAATGAGGGGTCCTTACTCGATTTGATGCCGAAAAGCTAAACTATTTACTGCACCTACGGGCGGACCCTGCGTTCCCTAAATTTTTTTTTGGGAACTGAAACGTGCTTACAGTACCTACAAATATTTTAAATAAACCCAAAATCAGTCTCAGGTCCCGTTCGGCCAATTTCAGAAATCCAGCATGGCGACTCCGCCGTGCTCGGCAGCGGTCTGCCTCAGGTCAGCCTTTTTGGATCGTTTTTTGCCGAATTCAGCCGATTTTACATCGATTCCTGTGAATACACACGCTAAAGGGCCTCGGTAGGCCGAAAAAATAAGAAAAATT